CCCACAACAAAATGGGGTTGCAAGCTAAAACATCTTATGACCATGAGTTTATCATGGTCATAAGAACATTCCAAGATAGTTATCGACAGCAACTGTTCAAACTACAAGTTATGTCATAAATTGTTTACCTTCATGGCTAGGCACAAAATCATCACTTTTTGAAACTTTATATCGTTGCAAATCTAATGTGAGTTACTTTTGAGTTTTTGGCTTAGTTTATTATGTTCATATATTAAAAAATGAACAAATTAAACTTGACTTAAATATAAGAAAATGCCTTTATATTGGCTATGACCCCTCCCAGGAAAGGATGGAGATACATGGATCCACAAACAAAAAAGATTTTTGTTTCTTATGATGTCGTGCTCGATGAAGTGTCATCCCATTATACTGATGCAAATGTTGACAACAACATAATTGATCTTGAACATTTTTTGGTGATGTGGCATCAAGTGAAAGAAGAAGCAATATTTTTAATTCAAGGAAAAACACTCAATAAGGAGAGACTATTGAGGCTGTGATTTGGAAGTCATCTAGACAAAAAAGGCAACCTAAATATTTAGGTGACTATGAAGTTTAACTTATCATTGCTTTATTTTTTCTTCTTTTGCTATGATAGATTTTTGTAAAAAAGAGCCAAAATCCTATGTAGAAGCAAAATGTGTTCTTAAATGGGAAGAAGCAATGAAAGAAGAAATATTAGTGTTAAATAAGAATTACACATGGGAGTTGGTTTTAAAGCGAAAAGATGCTGAATTAGCCACCTGTAAATGAGTTTACAAGTTAAAAAAAAAAGGTTGATGGCAATATTGACAGGTGTAAAGCTCATCTCATATGGCTTAAATTATAAAGATACTTTCAGTTTGATTACTAAAATAGTAACAATTCAAACACTCATTTCTTTAACATCATGCCATAATTTTCAATTATGGCAACTACATGTGAAAAATGCATTTCTTTATGGAGAGTTAGATCTTGATATTTTATTAAACAACCACAAGGTTTTATCTCCAAGGAGTTTCCAAAGCATGTGTGTCGACTCGAGAAGACGTTATGTGGTCTGAAACAAGTACCTCGTGCTTGGTTTGGTACGATTGCTCAATATCTTAATTTTTATACTTTTAAGTCTTCTAATACATATCTAAGCTTATTTATTAAGAATACTCCTATAATGTGCATTATATTACTTCTTTATGTGAACAATATGATCATTATTAGTGATAATAGTAATGAAATAAATTGTCTTCAAGATGACTTGTCCATTCGTTTTGAAATGAAGAGCTTGAGTGAAGCTACTTGTTTTCTTATATTGGGGTCAAAAATTTAAATGGCTATTTTGTTTCTCAAAAAATGTATGCAGGAAGTTTATTAGATCGTTTTGGTATTGAGAAGTCAAAAGCTATGACAACTCCCATGGATCATAGAATTACCAAATAAAAAGGGAAATTATTAGAAGATGCAACAATTTTTTGAAAACTTATTAGTAGCTTGTTTTATTTAACTATCACAAGACCAAATATCGCATATTCTATAAGGGTCATATCTTAATTTATGGATAATCCATATGAGGGATATTTTAGTGTTGTAAAAAGGATTTTTTGCTATGTTAAAGGCACTCAAGATTTTGCCTTGATGTACAAAAAGCATGTCTCATTCTTTTTGAGTTGTTTTATGAGCATTTTGGGCTAATGATGTGAATAATAAATGTTCCACAATGGGATATATTTTTAATATACATTCAATAACAATCTCATGGTGTAGCAAGAAGTAGACAATTATGCATCTTTCAACTTGTGAAGTTGAGTACATAATAGCCACTATGGCCACTCAAAAGTGTCTTTATCTTACAAGGCTCACTTAAGAAATGGTTTCTTATTTCAACTATACAGTCCTCATTTATTATGACAATGAAAGTGGTATTAAACTTCTAAAAAAATCATGTGTTTCATGCATGCACAACGCACATAGAGACTCACAACCATTTTATATTTGAAAATGTGTTAACTCAAGATATTGACCAGTTAAAGATACGAATTGAAGAGCAAGGCATTGATATCCTTACAAAAGCACTTTATAAAGTTAAATTAAAATAGTTTGTTGTGCTATTAGTGTTAACTCTAAGCTCACATTAAGGGGGAGTGTCATAAATTAGTGCAATTTATGAATCATGTTTGCTGATGAGTTGCTGACGAAATCAAAGTTTTGTTTTCCTTAGCTTCCCATTATTTAGGAATTTGTTTGTGTTTAACTTTCTTTAAGGAGTTTGTTGAGATAATGGCAATAACATGTTGACTTAGTTGAGATAATGATAGTAGCACACTGATACCCCTATAAACAAATAGTTGAGATTTTTTAGGAATTTTTTTAGTATTTAATTTTTTACTGTTAACACTTCTAAGTATGAGATGTTTTAAGTTATTTATTAAGTATAAACTTCTTATTCTAGTTTATTTTTCGCTTCTAATATACTTTAGTGTTTGAGTTTCGTTATAATTTGGGGATATGAAAACAGAAGTTGGTATCTTAAATATTGGTGAAATATGACACTATATTATACTTTATCACTTTGTACCTACTTATCTCTTACCTTAGATTTCTTAATTAATTGTTGACTTCTATTAAGTACATAATTTTTTTAGTACATATATTTGGTAGTCAACTATTATGTACTTAAAATTTTTAGGAGTATAGTATACCACCAAAGAGGAACTTTAACTTTGGATCATATGTGATTAAGGATTTCCATTGAGTGGGTTAAAAGTCACCTTGGAAATTAAATATATATGGATCTAAAATGTGTCATCGAAGTGTAATAATGCCAAGAGGCATGATAAAAGACTCTTTATGAAGTTTGGTCCCAAAATTTTTTGTGAAATGTTTGATTTGCATTTTTATATATGTTGATATATAGGACCTATTGAAAGGTAGCATGGTAACTATAGATTCGATGCCTAATTGATTATGCATATTTCACAAAGAGATATAGTTAGAACCAAAAGTTATGTACATGATCATCATAAGTCCATTCAAATATTATCTAAACATTGGATGGTTAAAATGTATCATTTTTTTAGGGAGCGTAACTAATATGCAATAGTTTTAATACTATATTTAATTACTATTGATTTTTAAGATTATGTTAGGAACTAGAAAAATTTTTATCTTCTAATTAATGCATAGTTTTTTTTTTTTTTTCTAATACAACATAATATATGTTAATCTTATGCTAAACAAATATCGAAGCTTAA